TGATCAACTGCAGTCCTGCAGGATCCACACATAGCAAGTGCTGCCATGTTTACCTGTGAATTGTGTCCCTGGGGCCATGTGCTGTAGGCATGTTCTCAGTGTGCTAGTGTGAATTTAGGGTATTTTTATAAGGTGGGCTACAGGGAAAATTCCACTGGTCTACGGGGCTGATCTAGGATGTATTGATGTAGTTTTTATAGAATGTGTGTTCGTTCATGAGAGTGAGTTTATGCAAGAATAACCTGAACCAGTTTGACTGCCTGCATCTTGTTTCACTGTGTCATCATTCTTGTTCACAGTCCTGCTATCAAGGTTCCATCTCTATGAGGTTCTCATGACAGCAAGATAACACTGTCCCACACATTGAATCTACAGAAATGTGAGAGGAATACACGTGTTCTGATTGTATAGTTGCCTGGTCTCAAGTGATTTCTTCTAAGAACCAAAGTTAACAACTTTATGCCTACTGTTGTGGATCATTTTCCTTTTAATTTTATTATTATTATTATCATGATGATTATAATGATAATGGTGATAGTACTAAGTTTTCAACTCAAAGTTTTTCACTTTATAGGCAAGCACTGTACGGTTTGAGCTATGCCCCCACTTGTATTTGCTTCTTTCCTATGTTTGTCTACATTGTTATCTTTCTATTACAGGCACAACAATATCACTGAGCTGACCAAAATGTACCAACTGGCTTCTTATTTTTTTTGTCAGATTGGGACTTAAGGATCATGCCTGGTTGGCTGCCAAATGACCCTCTTGAACACAGTCTCCAGCATAGCTTGGGATGACAGGCATCCACAACTGTGCCCTGCTATTGATTTAGTTGGGGGTTTCCTAAGTCCAGATTTTAGGATTACATTTGTGAGACATGAGTGCCACAGTACATTTTGCATATTATTTTTAATGCACCTGTAAGTTTGGATATTTTAATACTTACATTTGCAGTGTTATTCTAATTCCTATAGATTTAAGTAAGTCAACTGTTGTTCAGGTATGTAGTGTAGAGCTACAGGCTAAAATATAGCCTAGAATTGCAGCAGGCAGGATGCCTATGTTTGTGTCAGCTCACTCTATGTCCTCACACAATGACAAAATTATTTCAACATATTCTTCTCATTCAGTGGCACATGATTGTATCTGACAAAATTGGTATTATCTCTAAATTCTTACATGGAATGGTCCATTCATGACATTCCCAGCTTGTCTAGCAAACACCTCTAATTCCGTTCACACTCTGCCCATTTTTCAGCTCCAATGCTGAGTGCACATTTTCAGGTGTTTCTTAAAGCAGCATCACCACTCTGCTACTATACATATCTTTGTTTGTTCTTGTGTAAGAAAATACAGCAACCCTCATAATTTTAAGATCATGGACATCTACTGCTCACAGTTCCTGAGGTTGGGAAGTCCTAGACCAAAGTTCTGGTGGTGAATCTGGAAAGACTGGTTTCTCCCTTCCAAGGTGATATCTTGATGCCACATCCTCACATGGTGAGGGAGATAAGCACTGTGTAGTCACATGTTGCAAGGAAATAACAGTGACAACCTCAAGTTCTCAGGATATTTATAAGGGTATGAAGGGCTTGGAGACAGAGTGCCCACGGGGACTGATAGGAGATAATCCTCACTGTAGTCTCAGCATTTCATAAATGCTGATGCCATGCACACCTGGGCAGTCTTCCACAAGGAGCACAGTGAGCACATCCATGACTCTGAAATTTTACCTCTGCTCTTCTGTCCTAATTCCCTCCTGTGCTCCTTCCCCTCCATGTTCTCAAGCAGTTGCTGATACTGACCTTCCTTGGTCTTCTAGGACAGGATTCAGTTTCTAGCAGTTAAGGTTGTTGAGCCATGCATAATGAATTTCTCTTTGACCTTTCATTGGCATAATTAATCATGAATGCCACTGCGCTCAAGCATTCACTGGATTAATGATGGCTGATCTTTTATGAGTTAAATAGGTACAACTTGATTACATGTTGAATTGCTTATGGGTATTTGCATTGTTGTCATATTCCAACACTACAAGTGAAGCTTCAACTGAGCTTAGCAATGTGGGCATCAGAGAAACTAGCTGATCTCATTCATAAAGCAACAAACAAAGCAGGAAGCACTGACTATTAATAGATGATCCTCAACACATCAGAGATAAAAAATTATATACCACCCTTCCTGGGGGTGCAGAAAATGCATACAGAGAGACTCAGTAACTAGGAATGATCCCACATGGCAGAGGCAACCAGATGTCACAAGCTAGTTCACACTTACAGGAAAATAATAAAAAGAATCCCACAAGGTCATGACTTTAAAAGATACTATATTCATAAATGTTCAGAAAACTTGTATCAGTAGGGTTCCAGTTCAAATCAAAGGCTTGTTTCATGATTTAGGGTTTATTCCAATTTTCCCCTAACGTTAGTAGTTCGGTCCCAAGAGAAGTACATGCACCTCTACCCTACTGTGCAATACTCACCAGCTCACCACCATGACAGAAATATGTAACCTGCAGGGTTGAGACTTCAGAGACAGCAACTTGGACATGAGGGAGAGCAGAGGTCTTGTGGGACACAGTGGGAAGAGATGGAACTCTTCCAAAAGCCACCTCCCCTCTGTTCCTAAGTAGTAAGTGCTTCACCTTCAATCAGGAGAACATACCAGGAAGCTGAGAGCACTGTGGGAACCCTTGCAACTGTGGTAGTGAAGGACTGGGAAAAGCAAAAGCAAAGTCCACCACAGGTGACAGGTAACATATCAGAGCACAATGTCACTTCTGTGTCCCTTTCCCACACATTCACAATTATGAAGTGAGTGTAAATCTGCTGTGCACCTGGGAGGGCACAGTGAACTAGATCTTCTTGGGGAAAGCCTATGACACTTTTCTGGAGTGTACAGAAGAGGGAACCCCAGTTCTGGTTTTCATGGCCCCCAAAATGCCCAGCAACACTCTAATTTTGTAGAAATTCCACAGAATAATCCTTTGAGGTGGCAGGTGTGGTGATCACTAGAATAAAATAAGAAAATAATGTGCTAACACACATTTTTTAAGTATATAGTAATTAGATGAAATAGAATTGACATGGATAACAAGAAGACAAAAGTCATATGGAGAGAGAATCAGAATGACATTCATATAGATTTGGGACTCATGAAATCGAGCAGAACAGTGAAAAACATGATGATTACTGTAAGAAATTCTAAAGAAAGTGTGAACTTAATGAACGTCACCTAGGGAAGTCAGCTGAGTGGGGGGAACTGAAGGAAGATGAAGTGGAATCACAGCGTGCAATCACAATGAACACAAGGAGAATTGCACACCTTTCACAGGGGCATTATTGGATTGGAGTCAATTTTGAAAAGAAGCAGAAGCTGAAGACCTAATCCTTGAGACTACACCTGTAACATAAAAAAGATAGTTGAGACATGCAGAGACCACCAAGTCCTGAGGCATGTGATACCTGAGGATCTGAGCTGTAACACTAGAAGGAGGGAGAAGAGTTCCAGACAGAGACCCAAGGCAGAGTCTGCAAGAACCTATGAATAGAATGCAAGGATTGAGAAGATGAGTACACTGGGAAGCTGAGACTATTGAGAGAAGATGAGAGGAGAGAAAGAACTCTGGATAGACATGAGTGGCTGTAAGCCTGGTCACTAGATGAGCTCATGGGAGCTTCTGGGGTTTCAAGAGCTGAAGGAGTCAACACTGGAACTCAGACCAATAGGGATGCTTCACATCTTCCCACACCCAAATCCTGAACTTCACAAAGGACACCAGAAAGCACAGAGAAACCAGATGGAACTGTCACAGGTGAACTTGATGCACTAGGGAAATTGCATTAAGCATAATGAGAATGGAAGCCAAGGACAGCACGAAAAACATGTTGTTGACATTGAGGAAGGACACAGGCTGGGGGTGGCCCCACTCCAGTGTCTGCAGGCATGAGAAATGAGCAGCTTTCATGAGTGGGATGGACCATGTCTGTGATTTACTCCCTATACACACACAGGACGCCCTGCTGTGCTCATAACTCCTGCCATCTGGACTGCAAGAGGTCAGGTGACAAAATCTGGGTATTTCTGCTCAGGGTGACTGATGATCTCCATTCCTTTTCTCTATTGTGCACATGAGCAGCTGTGCTTATGGGATGGACACTAATCACCTTAACAAAATAGCCCAGTGTGATCTCCTCCTGCTGTATAATGCCCATCAGCATGCTGGCTGGACTTCTAGTATGGGTGCAGAAGGGTCAGTCTGCAGGATTCCCCAAAGCCACAGAGGAAGGAAGTGACTCCATGACAGACTGGACAGAATAAGGTCAGCTCTGTGCTCACATTACATTTTGTCTGCCAGTCTTTTTCACAGGTTAATAATGACCATGTTCATTTTTCACAAGAGTCCTTGCACAGAGGACAGCAGGAGGGCCCTGGGCTGTGGGGACTGTGAAATACCTCCAGCCTACTGGAGACACTGCCTGGGACCCACCTGAACTCCAGATATGTGGGCTTTGTCCTGGGATTTAGAGCACAGATGTCACAAATACTGTGTTCTGGATGAATGAAGGAAAATGGGATATGTAAAAATGATTATTATTAAATAAGAAAAATTAATTAAATTATATAAATGGGTAGTTCAGAGTGCATTGTGCTTAGTTCCTCACATAACAAGGGTACAAGAGAGGCCTGTTAGGTTTTATGAATCACTGAGAGAAGTCTGGACCTCCTATTTTTCACAACCTGAGTCCTAATGTCTGTCCAATCAGGGAATCCCACAGATCTCTGCTCTGTCATGTAAAAAGACTTAACCTGGAGGTCTGAGCCAGTGCAGGATCTGACTAAGACAGAGTCACTTCTGCTCCTAAATATGACATTCTACACTTTGTTCATGTGAGCATATATCTTATGTATTTGGAAAATCACAATAAAATAAAACAGTTTATGTTTAGAGTTATAAAACTCCTTTGTCCTGGCAGCACCTGGCACAAAACTGACCTTGATCAGTGTGTGCAGACTGCCCCCTGCTGGTCACGAATAGAACTGCAGAGTGGTTTATGTCTGGGCTCACACTGAAGCCTTCTCACTGTGTCCCTTGCACAATAATACACAGCTGTGTCCTCGGCTCTCAGGCTGCTCATTTGCAGATACAGCTGGTTCTTGTTATTGTCTGTAGAGATGGTGAATCGGCCTTTCACAGAGTCCAGGTAGTATGTGCTACCACCACTAATTGTTGCAACCCACTCTAGCCCCTTTCCTGGAGCCTGGCGGACCCAGTTCATCCAGTAGCTACTGACTGTGAATCCAGAGGCTGCACAGGAGAGTTTCAGAGCCCCTCCAGGCTGCACCAAGCCTCCCCCAGACTCCACCAGCTGTACCTGACACTGGACACCTGCAACACAGAGAATCATGGTCAGGAAACTGTCACACTTTTCCTCACACTCATGTCCATTCAAACACTCAATACTTCTTGTTCTCTATAAATTACCTTTAAAAATAGCAACAAGGAAAAGCCAGCTCAGCCCAAACTCCATGGTGAGTGGTCTGTGTTCAGGGCTGATCACTGAATGGGGTCAGCTGGAATTCAATGCTGGGCTCCTCTCCAGAGCTGCAGAGTCTGGGATGATCTGCTTTTCATGAGCAGAGAGAGGCCTTATTTGCATGTCCTCCTGCTATATATCAAGCTCTGGGTCAAAGATTCAGAAAGCCCAGATCAGATTTGACCATCCTTGTAGAGATTCTGACAATGTTTGCATTAAAGAAACAAAGGAAGTATTTAGTGGGGAAACAGTGGAGGCGAATTGGAAAGGACAGAGACCTTGCGGGGTGAATATGGTCAAAGCACTTTGCAGACACGTATGAAGATAAACTAATGCAACATTGAAAAAGTAAAATGTTTTTAAATTATTTAAAAATAAGGGAGAGCTGATCAGGAGCAGTAATAGATGGGGTGAGTTTGTTCATACATGTGTAGAACAGATTATATGCATGTATATAAATGAACAATGAAACCCATTTGTGCAATATACATTAAACAAAACTAAAGTGAACAGGAAGTCCCATTATGTGACTGAAAAGCATTATGAACAATAGGTCTTATTTAACTTTTTCCATGAACACAAAACTTGTAAGTATTAAATTTATCTTCTTTTCAAACATCTGGAAGTATAAAATAATCACAATGGTTGGTGCTGTGTGTACAGGAGTTCATGACTTCAACCATCCACAACACTGCTCCCTAAATCAGAGTGAAGCACACCTGGTGAGGAGTGCAAAACCCTCTTTCTGTGGTGATCACAGGTGTGTCATATCTGCATTCTAGGTTTAAAAGAATATAGAGAACCAGGGTTCTGTCAGATTCAGGACTTTTAGTCTCTGGCATCTCATGGCATTCTTCGCCAGTCGCATTTTATACCTTGAGATGTGTTGTCTTTCTTTAGCAAACTTACTGTGTTTCAGCACAGGGTGTAATAAACTGCATATTTATAGGGAGCATGTTTGATGATGCTGCCATCATGGAAACTTGTCCACCATCACGACAAATAGGGGAACCTATATTCAAACCTCAAGTTTGTCCTTGGTTTCCTCTGTAATCCCTGTACAACCTTTCAATCCTCTTTTTCTATCTCCAGAGAGCTCATGACCTTCTTTATGTTGTGCTTGATTAATTTTCATTTTTCAAAATTTATACAACTATCATTTACAGTGTTCAGTTTTAATTGTTTTGCATGTTTACATAATAATGTTTATCAAAATCCCCCATGATTGTGAGGCTCAGTCATTTATGTGTTTTATGCTCAGTAATTTTCCATAGATGAAACACTTAATTAATTTTGTCAATTGTCCTGTTCCTGGGTTTTGAGATACTTTTTATGTTTCTAGTTATTACACATCCAGGTGCTATTTAGCTTGCAGTTGTAGAGATCTGATAAAAGATCGTCCTATTCTGACAGCAAGGATAAAAACAATATAATACTAGACTATCTACCAATTGAAAGATAAACACCTTAGAGTCCAGATTTCCCAGGATTAGTGACACACAGGGAATAAGGAACCTGCACTTAGGTCTCTGCCTTGGGCCATTCACAATGCTTCCCTGCTCTCAATTCCTACACTCCACAGCAGTAATGTGTAGTGTCCCTGAGGCAGAGGTCACCATACACCAAGGTGAAGGTGACACTGGAAGTGGTTGATGTATTCTTTCTGAGTGAGTATGCTGGGACACTAGTGTGTGAGGTTCCATGGTTCACAGATGCAGGGGGTCTTTGTACATCTTTGTTACTATACTGAAAGAACTTACACCTTGTGACTTACAGGCAGAAGAGAGGCTCACTGACTCCTCACATTGCAGAAGATCACACAAGAGGTCTGTTCCCTCTCATAACCCTGTTACAGGAATATTAACTCCATTTAAGAAGTCAGATATCCTGCATAGGACACATCTGTAAACATCACCTTGTTGATTAAGTTACAAACAGGAGGTTTGAGGATTGTATGTACTCAAAATATAGCCTCAAAATTTCATGTCCATTCTCCATATTAAATGGATTCCTCCATTGCAATAGTCACAATGGTACTTGTTCAAGTATTAACTACAAAATCTAAGTTTAATAAACCCTTGTACAAATTTGATATTAAATCAAATATGGAAGAGACTGCAGGAATATGTCATCCCTGCCATTTGGTTGACACCCCAGTTCCCAAATGGATGATGTGAAAGAAGAGATGGATAACAAGTCCAGTAAAATCCTGAAATTCATTTGGTCACACATTAAACATCAATGTTCTATTGATTCACACTGCAGTGGGCATGTAATTCAAGGGCAGGCTCACCCATATTCTGCTATGTGCACCTGACTCTAGAGCTTCATATATGTGAGCTGGTTTCCCCAGGTCTTCATGGTTTATTTTGCATAATGAAACATCTACAGGGCTGGTTTAACAGCAGAAATTCCACGTCCCTATGTTTGTATAGATTTTTCCTGTTGAAACTCCCTGGACAGGGTCATACACCACAATTGTGCAGGTCCTGTCCCCATGGAGGCTTCCTGCACTGCCTCCCCTTCAGCAGTGATTCTCTTCCTGAACCTGAGGCTGTATGACAATCCTTTAAAATCTAAATGGAGGCTTCCCTGCCTCACAGGTCTAGGATACTGTAGGCTGGCAGAGAGAGCACCAGATGGACACCATCAAGGTTTTGAGACTCTGCCATCTGCAGGATCAACTGTCAAATCCCACACTATACCTGGACACACGGGAACATCACCAGGGGAGAGTGAGTGTAATGGTACAGGATTGTGTGAGACAGAAACTACAGTTGAATTCATGGTTCAGTGAACCATGAATTCGTGCAAGTGCTCTGTGTCACCCATGATACTGTCTTTCACTCTTAATCCTGTACTGTGTTTCTGCAATGGAGTGACAGCCTTTGAAAAGCCTTTGGGCCATTCTTTCATTATCCTGATGAACAGCACCTCGCTACCTCCTGTCTACACCAGTCACCTCTTCATAAGTTCCTCTGGATATCGTTTTCATAATTTAACCCATCCAGATCTCTCTGCTCCCCATTCTTTACAACTTGGCCAAGCTGAGACTTTCCAGGTCTGTAAGTTTGCCTTCCATTTGGTTTTAAATTCCATACTTGTCCTGTTTCTCTCTTCTTAATCGTTTTTTAGCAAGAAGTCAGGGGAAGTGATATCATACACTCACTCTATGTTTAGAGATCTGTTCTGTCACAGGTCCTGTCTCACTGCCTTAACTTCTGACATCCACAGCACAGGAGGGCATGAACACACTTCATCTATGTCATGTACCACATTACACAAGGACATCCTGTCCTCTAGTTCGCAAGAGCCCGTTGCTCATTTCTATCTGTGCTCTCAACAGAATGTCTTCATCATCCATGATTCTGTCCACATAATGACAGGATCATTTAGCTGTCATGGTCATATGCCATATACCAGAGCTTCAGTCATTGATGGTTACATTTAAGGCAATAGTCATATAAGACTACAATGGAGCTGATAATCTCCTACTATCTAGTCCTTTCTCAGCTACAATAATGTCAAAACCTAGCGCATTTTGCAGGACATTGAGGTGGGGCTGGAGCAAGCAAACCACCTGCACTGACACTCTTATGGACATATATCCATATGGTTATGGACATTGCATATGTGACCATGATCATGAATGATGATGAGTCTTGGGTTATCTTATCCTGCACTCTTGTCCTGAACTCAGTCTTAAGTGCATTTTTCATCAAGTTCTGGACTCAGTCCTGTGCTGTGTTCATCTTCTCCCTAATTATACATAGAACTTTACTGTGTTTCTGATAGACTCCACATTGAGTAATGATCAGGGAATAGAAGTATATCTATTAAAGTCTATGGATGTGGACAATCATGTTGGTCATTGCTCTCTGGTCATGCTTTTCCCAGTCCACCTTGCCTATACTCTTAAACCCATGAAGTAGCTTGCAGAAGCTGTTAAATCATCTGCTTTTTGGAAGACAGCACCACAGTGAACATTTGGGAAGGAACTACACAAGATACCTGGGAAGTTCCAATGACCTGATGTGAAGACCAGGTTTATATTCATTTCCCTTTCATCACAGTAATCATCACAGTCATAATAAATTTTTATCTGCCAAGTACAAAGTAAAGGCTGGACATAAATAGTCATGATGTTGAATTTATTTTGAATCTAGAGTGATTTAAAAATTCAATATTAATCTTCACTAAATAAGGAGAGATAGAGTAGTTTGTGTGGGATTAGACCCGAAGACTGTGGAGGACACTCCACATAAGCTGACTCTGGAGAAATATTACTTGCCAGGGTAAATCTCTCTGTAGATGGAGCCTTGCTCTGCTCCAAATAATTTCTATAAGCACTTACATCCACAAGTAGAAAGAGGGCCAATGCTAGGTTTCAATTTTTTAAGGAAAGGACAGAAGTCTTTCTTGGCCAATGTTGTAGGCTACATTTGAATTCTTTGTGAACTGGACCACTGAGAGTCCACCCTGACTTATTTGCCATTGCTTGTCTGTGTCCTTGGGCCTCTACCAGTCCCTTGGGTGACATGGGGCTTTGTGTAGACAGAGATTCAAATTCTTCATATCTGTAGATGAAGAAGTATACTTTGCATGTATCAGGTTCTCACTTCAGGGCAGGCAATCATACAAAAACCCACTTACCATGACCAGTTGATGCTGATAGAAGGATGAGTTATGCATTTTTATTGGCAATATTATAAAAGCTGTTACTCATATATTATAATGTCCCTCTGAATAGTATCTATAGGTGAAGGACATGCATCTGCTGCTGTACCAGGCAATCTCTGGAAGCTCAACTCAGAGACACCTAGATACTTATATCCTACATGGATATAATCCAAGTGGAAGATGTAGATGCAGTAAGGAAAAGAGTGAAGTTTTTATGGTCAGGGAAGGTTCATGAAGTGGTTCTGCCAGCGGAGGTGGAAGAGGACAGTGGCAAGAGGGGAATGTGAGAGGATGCTTTTTCTCTAAGACATGTAAGAAATGTCTGGGCAATTCTTGTGGGTTGGGCTATGGTGATTCACAGATATGATTTATTCTGCACATG